TGAAATACTTGGCTATGATGTCCAGATGTCCATAAAGAGCCTGGGCTTCACTGCAGGACCCCACGTTCCTGCAGGATCCAAAACCCCCAAATATAATGGAGTGGGGAGGAAGAGAGACCCAGCGAGCCAACCTAAGACTTCCAAATAGCATCACTCTTGTGTCCACATTTCTGCTCCCTTGTCCAGCTCTTCCCCACTACTTCAGAGCTCCTGACCCTCCAGAGCAGAACCACCCACCTACCCAGGCTTGGCTTTGGCTTGCCAAGAGAAGCACAAAACACACACACAGATGAGCCATTGACCGCTCTGAACTGTTTGAAGACAACCAAGAATCAACTAATATTGGGGTTTATTGGAACTCACTCTATTAAAACAATCTATTTGTCTCTGTGGAGACTGACAATTAAATAAGCCACAAAATACACAGTAGCACAGAGATCTACCAAGTTTGCACTGCAAGAGAAAAATGTTTAATCCCTGCAGAGAGGACCTCAGCTTTACCTAGGCAGAAGATTGCACACCCTGATCCCCTTCCAGAGCACCTGAAGTGACTCTGCACCTCCATCTCCACACACACAGGGGCTGTGAGCAGAGACAGTGTAACCCCAACTAATCACTTGGAATTCTAAGTAATGGAGTAAAAGGCTTTGACGCTATAAATCTGTAACAAGAGCATAAAACAGGGAGTTAAATGCCATGTGCTAATTTCAGTGTATTCTTAAAAACCATTTGATCCTGCAGTGTGATTATAAATGAGAGAAGCAATAGAAATTTGAAGATTAAAGTTATTCATACTGGCACAGCTAAAAGTATTACTGAAATCCACCCCGATAAAATGAATTTGGTTTGTAAGAAAGCACTTTTACAGCACAGGCATCTCCTCTTCCTACGCCTGTAAGGTAAGAAGAAACTGCTCATTTAAAGGAAGGTTAGATTTGTAACAGAACATGGCACATTCCTTCACTTTGGATAGACTTTCACAAGCCTTTGGGTGAGCTCATGTGCTTGGGACCCTCCAAGGCACCAAACATTACAGAACCATGAAAACAACAGAGTTACAGCTCCTAAAAACCGTAACAGTGGGTTTCTTTCTCTCCATCTCTCTTATTTTTCCACTTCCAGGACTGAGTTTTAAGGGGAACTGACCTGGTCTCAGGTAACACATCACCTGTCCTTGCCCAGGTGCAGACACTAACCAGAGAACACACAAGCACACGAGGCTGTGAGCGTCACTGACGTTGTGGCCCTGGCCAGGGACACCAGCCAGGACAGGAGCTCTGGGGCGTTTGTTTGGGACTGAGTGGATAAGCTATCCAGGAAATTGATAGCACTCCTTGGCACACTGAGCGAGCTACAGATATAAATCCAGGGAGGGCGGAATGGTAAGTAATGCTGGGCCCTGGCAGTGGGAAATCCAAGAAAAATGCACAACCAGCTGTGGGAGTTGATGCCAAGGTTCCAACTGATACACCCAGCGCCAAGGCAGGGAATGGACGATGGGAACCAAGGGGACCAGGCTGTCCTGTGAGCCCATAACCCAACAAACATGGGAGTGTGCAATGCCCCCAGGCAGGACCCTGTCTGCAGCCATCGGAACACGGTGGTGCCTTCCCCTGGGCTGCCCCTCCCAACATGGCTCTCCTCTGCCCCACACCTCGTGTTAGACTTGGGGTTTGCTGGTTCTGAACTAAACTTTTCTTTGTTCTTCTAAATCTCCTCTACCTCCTCCAGCCTATTTTTACAACCTTGCTTGTCCACACTCCCTCTGTTACAGCTCTCCTGTTCTTGCACTCACAAACACACAACACAAACACCAAAACTGCAGGTCACTCAAACTGGGTGTAACTCATCCTCCCAGGAGGATTCCAACTGCTCACTGAGCAAGGGGAGCAATCCCAGCAGCAGCAGAGCTGGGAAACGGCCCAAAGCACCACCGTTACACTAAAGATCTTCAAAAGGTGAGTGAAACACTTTTACTAATGTGAGGGCTGTACAGCCCCTTGCCATGAGGTATTAGAGGGGCTGAAACCTGAGCTATGAAGCCAATTAGACTCTCTAGCAGTAATGAGAACATCCATTGCCGCGTTGAGCAGGGAACGTTGGCATAAACACGTGGGTCGGGGCTGAGAGTGATCAGTCCCACACCTAGAGGAAACCTTCACTGTGCTGACTGCACATCAGTGGCATTTGTTCTGCACCACGTTATAAAACCAACCCACCAGGGCCCTGTCTGTGGGACAGAGAGAATCCATACCCTCAGTCTGTCCTGTACAGCACTAATGGTGCACAAGTCCCTCAGAGCTCAATTACTGCCCTGGCACAGCTCGGGAAGTAAGGGCTGGGGGTGGTGGGACTGGAAACAGGGACACAGATTAGTGCCAGTGGCCAGGAGCCATGCCCAGCCTGGCTGGGCTGCACCAGGGCTGACCCCTGGGCTCTGCACCATGCCAGAGCCTCCTCTGCAGGAGGAAACACCCTGCACCACACCACAGGCACTGCTGGAACCACAGTCACCTTCTGCTCCCAACTCTAAACTCTGTTCCAGCTGCAAATGCTGAGGAGAGCCAGGAGATAAAGGACAATTACTGATATTCAAAGAGGCAGCATCGAACTTTATTAATAGATCCTGTATAAAATTCAATGGAAAATCTATTCAGGGCCAGGGGCCTTACCATTTGGAGTTTCCTTAATAGCCTCCAATAAATCTGGGAAGCATAAAGGGGCTGTTAAATTAACATTTTCCTGATCTGTCACCTGTGGCACAGTCAATTTGTCAAAAAATTCTTTTAGCTTGTCACTGGACACTGTATATTCTGACAAATGAAGTCTGGAATAAAATTGACAAAATATCTCGTTAATTTTCTAGGAAATCACAAATCTGATTCCATTAAGCTTTTATTGTTGGAAAAGTTATACCCCACCAATCCTTTAAGGAAGTGAGGAGTAACTGGATACATCGAAAATGTACAATAAATCGCAGAAAACCTTCCCAGTGCTTTTATTGGTGGATCCTCTCAGGGCTCCCTGGGGCTCCCTACCACCTGCTACGTCAAAAATCAGTAACTGCTCAAACTCTGCCAATCCCTTCCAAGCAAGAAGTCTTTCTGAGATCTAAAACTCACCTGCAACCACAGCCAGGTGATGTGTATCTTCGACAGAGCGTTGTGTGGCCACTGAGTCTCCCCTGACACGGTAGGTTTGGGGCAGCACCACTGACTCCAAGGGAGAGCTGAAGCACCTGCACAATGGAGCTACTGAAGAGCCACGGGGAAAACTGTGTGCTGTGTCCTGCTCACTCCTGCTGAGCTTCACCACACACCACGGCACAGAATTAAAACAAAGTCCATAAACACTTCCCAGAGAAAAGTGATTGATTTTCAGCAGCAATAATTTACTGCCTCTTCCTGCACAATGGAGTCCTGCGACTGAATGTTCTATCACTTTCAGACTGGATGTTCTAATGATATAATGCAAAGATTTTACTGAATCATTATTTAGTGGGAGTCATAAAAACCTCTTAAAATTAATCTTTCATGCACATCTAGCTTACCCAAAGTTAGCATTTAATTAGAGGGCCTTGGCACGGACGAGCTTACCACTTTATTTGCTCAATCAGTATATGTCTCTTCAGTAATTACAATTAATTCCAGCCATTGACTCACCTCGCAGCAAACAACCAACCACTGCACAAAATGGAAACAAATCTCTTCCTCTCCCAAACGCAAAATGTCTTCTCACTTTCAAACCCACCAAAATGCTTTGGGTTTAGGGCATTTAGTACACTCTGTGATCCAATCACCTCCTGCACACAACTTACTCACACAGGCAGCTAATCAACACACAGAAAACATACGAAGGGGAAAATGGAAACATACCTATAAATATATAAATCTGTAGGTATAAAAATACATAATGTATAAATTTATAAATATAACTCAGCATTTACAGCACACAAAAGTTCTAACAGACCAGAGCACAGATGTTTATGGCAACACAAGGGACCATATTTTTCCAAGGCGACCACGGAAAAGCATCATTTGCTAAGCTTTTGACTTGGAAAAAAAATAAAAATTCAGAGCAATTATTTCTTTACCCAAAATAAGCGGCAATAGAAGTCAGTCATATTAACTCATAAGCCAAACAGCTTTAGGGAGGCTGAGCAGACAAAGAAGAGTCATTTGAAGGAAAAGATGGTCAATATTCTGTAAGTTTAGATGCTCAGAGATCTGAAAAGCTTCCAGAGGAGCCCTGAGCCTATTCCAGCACCCCTGGCACAGAGCTCAGAGCAAACACCCTGGGGCATGGGGAGTGCTGAGAGTGTCCACCAGCCCCAGAGCCTGAGAGAGCGAGACCAGCACGGTCTGGGGTGAGTGCTGCAGCCCTGACAGCCACGGTGAGCAGTTACACCACAGTCTGGGTGCTTTATTTGCATGGTGCTGCCACAGAGCAGGAGAACACACCAGAACACTCGGAGCACCCGTGAGCCCTGGTGCTCCTGTGAACACCAGGGCTGTTCCACCTCGCTGCTCCTCCAACACACCACTCTGCTCCCTGCCCAGGCAAAGCTGGGGTTTACTCCATCAGGTGGTTACACCACCACGGGGCGTTAGATGACTCCAGTCACACGATTCCCTGTCATCCTTCAGCCCTGGGTGGGACCAGGTGGGACCAGGGACTGCTGGCACGATGCTCACACTGCCTGCCCTCACAGGCTCTCGGAGCAGCTCCAGGCTGTGCAGTGGATCCTCCTTGCTATCACCCCCAGCTCGTGCTGCACAGTGAGCAGATCACGGTGTAAAATTCCATTAACATCGTTAAATACTTAATTTGTCT